ACACTCCTCCCCACACACACACCACACCACACATACACACATACACACACACTCCACACCCCATACACACACACCCCCACACACACCCTCCTATGCACACATCCCTACCCCCATGCAACATACATACATACCCTCTCCCAAACCTCCTACACATATACACACCACACAACACACACACACACACACACACACACACACACACACACACTTCTTCCACAATTTTCAGTCATTTCTTTGGAAGAACCATGCATAACAGACTTCACTATGAAGAATCTGTTTAAGATCTTCCAAAATTCTTCAGCAGCTAAATTGAGAGAAGCTATTTCATGCTATTTCCCAGTGCTAAATGAAAATGCAAGACCCTGTGTTTAAAAACTATTAAGAATCTCAGGACAGAAACAGCAGAGCATTACACCAAGCATGGTGCCTTCCCAATGATCTGGGTGCTCTTCTGTCTATCGAGATTAGTGCTTGCCACAGGTCTGTAGTGCTGGCTCCTTAGATGGCTGAGGTTGGAGGGTCACTTGAGCCCAGGACTTCTGGGTTACAGTGAACCATGATCACACCACTGAAGTCAGCCTGGGTGATAGAGACTTTGTCTTCAAAAAAAAATAATAATAATTTAAAAATAGAAAATTAGCAGTTGGTGATAACAGATGTAATATTGCTTTACATTGGGCTATATAAGCCTCTTTTTATAAGATTGTGAACCCATTGAGGGTTTTGGTGATCCAACTGAGTTTGCAATTAGTTAGGGTATAAAAGCAGCATAGGTCAGGCAGACATGGGTTAGAATTACAACTCAACATCTTTATCAGAGCTAAAGTTGATATTGAGAAACTTGGGAGCATAGAGAGAAGGTCCGATTGCATGGATAATGGAAATATACCCTAAGGGAAAAAACTCATTCTTCAGCGATGGAACTGGAAAACCCAACCCGCTCACAGGGGAAAGGCTTTTAAGCCTAAAATTAGAGTAGATGAGAAAGGATATAGCCTCTCTGCCAGCAGACAGTCCCCTAAGCAGAAGAAAGAGGGCTACACTGGGTTCAGTACTTTGTTTCCTGACTTACCAATCACTGGGGACTATCTTCTGCCCTGGGGGAATGACCAGGAAGGATGACAGAGGATGCCAATTTTGTTACTCTAACAGGGTCCCTCCAAATACAAACAGAAAACAAGGGAATAAGTTCTACCCTCCTCCAACAGAGGGCAGCATTCATGTCATAGTCCTAATTCTATCTATAGTATTAGTATCATGCTCAAAATGTATTTGTTAATAAACTTGTTAACTGTCAGGTTGATGACCTCCAAAGAGAGACCAGCTTTCAGAGTCAGGCCTGACTCCTGCTTTTGTTCCTCTCTAACTGTACGCCCTGAGGCAAGTAATCGAGCCTCTTTGATTTCATCAACTGTAAAATCCAGATGGTAAATACCTAGCTCATGGGAGTCTCATGAAGGTTAATGTCTGTCAAGAGCTTATCCCAATGCTGGGGGGAGGTAGGGAGGCGTTCAAAGAGGCGAGCTCCCCTCTTCTTTTTCCTCTCTGATAAAACCTGCTCTCAGAAAAAAAAAAAAATCTAGTACACTATTGTTTATGCTTCCTCCAATGAATTTTCTTCTCCCAGGGCTTTTTTTGTGTTTCAGCCCTTTCCCTCAGTGTTATGAAAGGCTAATTCAGTCAATTGTAGTTAGAAGCCAAATAAAAAGAATTTAGGAGGAGATGTCGTTCTGGAAATCAGGTGGAAATCAGGCGCTCTCTGGATTATGCTGTTGTCATTATTTTCACTTCTACCCGCTTCCCACACCCCATGTCTGTTCCATGCCAAATTTTTTTTTCTGAAGGATTGTCAAGGGGACATATGTCCCTTAAATGGTAAGAGGGATATGAAGGATAATGAGTAATGGGGAAAGAAATAAGAAAGATTTGTGCCCTGATTGCAT